TACTAAAGCCTTGTTTAAAGCCTCGTGTGTATGGAGTTACCCACTTAAAGAATACTAGTGCCAATTTGTAACTACAAAAAAGTAGTCATTAATTGGAATGGGCCCTACAGTTAGTAGATCTACAAACAGTAGCTATTATCACTAGAAATGTTTCCTTTAAACTTTTGAACTCACAAGTTTCTTTCAATCAAAAGCATGCTTTGGCACAGCACAAGAATCCAGGCCGGCCTTGAAATTTCACTAACATTGCCACACATTCACCAGCGAGTCAAACAAACTACTTCTATGGAATCTGTAATGACATAATTGAAACCGGGTTTACATTTATTTAAATAGTATAGTTTTGATGGAATGAAAATATTTTAGTAAGCGGTACAACACATGTTTGAGGAAAATTTACAGAGATCCCCCCTGCTCCATAGATTTCCTCATTTACCTATAACAGCACTATTTTGGAAATGAAAGAGGGAGAGGCAGGGGGGGGAGAGAGAGAGAGAGAGAGAGAGAGAGAGAGAGAGAGAGAGAGAAAGGGGGAAGGTGTGTTAAATTTCAGTTCTGTACAATGGCACCTTTAACAAACCTGCCAGCTAGTCAAAAACTAAATAAGCTGGTTTGAAAAAATCTTTACTACTGCCAGTTAATATTCACAGGGCTCTGGGGGAACAAGAACTTTCAATGACTCAATATTTATAAATGCTACTGTTGTCCCTCAAACATGTGTCTTAGATTCCTGAGGGATACTGGGATTTTTTTTGCCATAATAAGGGTGAGTATGTGAGTTTTAAATGGAGAGAAGGGCAGTTAGGAGAACAAAATTAAACTCAGATAAATAAGCACTTGGTGGTCTTGAATTCGAATACCACTTAAGTATGATTGGGAAACCTGACCTGTCTGGGTTATTTCACTTTAATTTACCTATGTTTTAAGCATAGAGAAAGTATTCAAAATGCACAACATTGCTGGCCAAGACACTTTTTGTCTTTTTATTTGAAATGTTGCTACTTTACATCAATAAATGTCCAAAAAGGTTAAACTTCCAATGTGGGATATCAAAATAGCTGAGATTGTGTTTACAAAATAGCTGAGATGGTGTAATCGAAACTCCAAATGCTCAAGAAACAATAACATTAATGAGGTGAAGTCAACTCTAAATTAAAAGTCAGTGTTTCCATTACCCACTCTAACAGTATTTTCAGGATTTTATATAACTTGATCATTAAAAAATGCTCTAGGCTGAAAACCTGGTCTGTGTCAATCTTGGACTAAACTAGTTTGCAAAGCTCTGAAGTTTGTTTGCCATTCTCTTTTATCCCTTTTCAAGAATGTATTACTTTTAAATGCTGCACATTAAACTAAACCAAAAAAAAATCTGTTTTACTCAATGAGCCAATGCTGTTGCATGCATCACTCATTTTTCAGAAGAAATTTATGATTTCTGTAAACTCGCTTTCAAGGTGCCTGTGTCTGGAAGTAAAGAGCTTAAATTCCTTTTCTAATTCAGTCTTTAGCACATCCCTTCTCTGTCAGTTACATCATCAAAAATATCAAAATTTCAAATGGTAGTGCTAACTTTTGTAGAAATAAACTTCAAATTAGAATTTAACTTGGTAGAAATAAAGTTTATTATTGTGACTTTTTTTAGATTGGCTCTTTGTGGAACAGAAGAGCTTTTATATGTGGATGTCAAAGAACAAACGAAGGACAATACATTAGATTCGGAACTGTTCAAGTTATATAGCAGTGAAGAATAACATTAGAGGCTAATTGTGCATTAATCAAAACATCTCTGAGAGAGACGTGGAAATATCTTAGTATATAGATGCCCAAATATTTAGGCTGTGAGGTTAGGAGGGGCAGATCTAACTCTCTAACATTAGGCTGCAAGGAATGCTTAGGAAAAGTTATATCAAGAGGCCAGCTCCAATTGTACCTGAGATGGCCTCCAACCTTCACCACTGAGAAAAACAGACTTCTTCATGATAATATTGTAGGACCCATCCAAAGTATCTAGGTATTTTGAATCCTTGCCTGGAAACGAGGAGACAAAGCAGGAACAAACTTACACACGCGCCCATGTGCACATGCATGCATGTTTGCGTGTGTGTGAGTGTGTGTTAACTTTATATGTCTTTCTGTCTGTCTCTGCCTATACCTTATAGGGGAGTCTATATATACAGCAAATACATTTATAAATATGAAAAGGGAATATTGTTTTAACATTTCATATTACATTTTTATTTTAACCTTTGTAGAATTGTGGAAAATCATTATTTTGAATAAAAATAAAAATGCCTAGACTCTGGGCCAAAAGAAGGGATAAGTTTCACTTCCTAACCCAGATACCCTCCAATATAGTCCTTTCTACAATACCACTGAGCACCAAAAATTATTTTTAGAAATGGGCAAGATATATATTCATAAATTCAAATTTTAAAAATCTGATGAGTTGTGGGTCGGCCGAGTGGTACGTTGGTTAAGAGTTGGCTTGGGACGCCAGCTCTGAGCTGCAGGGCCCCGGTTCGGATACCACATGAGGGCCAGTGACACTGCACCCTCTACAACTGAGATGGTGAACAACAGCTCAACCTGGAGCTGGGCTGCCATGAATTGCCGGTG